TCACGCAATTCACAACAAAATGATGGGTTACTGGCACATTCCTTTGGAAGTTTTTTCTACCACTTATCTTGTTTTCTCCCATACGGACACTTGATCTCAACAACTCCAGTTCCACATATGGAGCACTGAACTTTTCCATCAACACTGGCTCCCAAAAATGGATAATTGTTGCTAACAAACAGCCCCATATCTTCGACAAAAACATCACCTCTGCAGTTTTTTTCTGTGGTTCTGTACATACTGCCTACGGGCTTTACATTCATATTTTTTTTCCATGAGAAATTCTGGAAGTGTTCGGTGGAGTATTGTACCCACAGAGTACTTTTATCAAATTTTCTGGAGGAGTTTCTTCTTTTTTCTTACAAATAGCACCAAAGTTAGATGCAGTCAATACACAAGTTCTGGCTTCTTTCCAATTTTTATTGTTGGCTTGACCACGTGTTGAGTTGTTCAATTCAGACACAGTTAAGGGAGGTACTTCTAACCTGTTCACAAAGTCAATAAATTCTGACTGACACACTGCAGAGTTTAAATCAACACTATCCATAAACATGAAAGATGGTTCATAAATATTTAAAAAGGGCGTTATGTCTGCAGTCCTCGCACACATTGTTTGGTAAAGAACAGCTCCTGGATGAGCCTGCCCCAGTCCTTCCAGTATGTCTTAAGAAAATTTTCAGGATCTTTACAAGGGCCGGACATGTATACATCTGGATAAGGTTTCACAGGCGGATTATCGGATGTGAGAAACTTAATGTCTTGTAATCTTCTTGGACTTGGCGGTCTCTGAATTTCTTTGGGTTTTTTCCACTTACAATCACCTGAGGTACAGGGATTTTTTATTTTGACAGTAGCAAATAAGGCTGCTCCAACATGGGCACAAAATCCAGCTTTTCCTGCTTTACAATTACAAGAGGATATTTCAATTTGTCCAGTTTTAATAATGGTTACATACAGGCTATAATGGTCAGAAGTTTTTCCTTCAATTTTTACTAAATGTCTCATACTTGGTCTACATTCTGCTGCAATACAACTATATGTATCGTTAACATGATTCACTTTTATATTTCCAAGAAAATTTTCATCACAGAGTCTTCTAGCCTTTTTAAGCTGCCTTTTGCACTTTTTAGATTTACCTGAAACAGGGTCTTTTGAATAAATAAAGTAATTAAGAATGTTGTCTTCCTTAACATCTGGACAATTCTCCGTCGTCAGCTCTGTCCACCCATCTTTAAGTTTCGACGGATTTGGAACATATTCATCATCCCCCTCTGAACTATCACTTGTGGCAGAAATATCTGTCTCCCCAAAATTCATTACTCTAATTATTCTGTTCACTAGAATGTCCTTATTTCCAGATTTTTTAAGACCTTTGTCTGCTAACTATTTTTGAAGATCCGATTTCTTCCATTTTAGAAGTATTTCAGGAGTTAGAGGAGCATCACCTGTATCAGAATCTGTCTCACTCATTCTGCAAATAATTTATACATATGTGTATTTAGTTTTCACTTTAATTTACATATATTCTAATCTATTATACAATATGTTGTTATTTTGTCTGTTGATAATTAGTAAGACATTCTGACAATATTGGCTTTTCAAAATAACCAGCATTACTTGCAACCTTTAACTATGTACATGTATATATAACATAAAATTCGGGTGTTGCTAAAACGCGGAACGGAAAAAGGAACGGAACGGAAAACGGAATATGTTATTTTGGATTAAATCACTTAAAATACACAAATTTTATCATAAACGATATTATCTTTTACATATTCAACCTCCACTATTATCAACCAATTAAAATGCTTGTTTTTTTTAATGAAACCAGTGATTCAAATTGTTCAATTGTCAAATCCAATTGTATCAATACTCAAGGCAACGCTATTTAGGCCGCAGTGTAATACTTTCAGGCGAGATTTGCGATAAATACAAGTTGATTATGCAATGCTTGGTCTCTTATTTACGAAAATCGCTAACATAGCATTCACCTAGAATCCAATTTGGAAAAAAAGGTGGGGGGTTAAAAGAACTTGAAAAGTATTAGACAAGCAAAAACACAAAAAGAGGACAATAATTGTTTGATTCCGATTTCGGGAGGGGGAATAAGTTCTAACTCCAACATCTTTCAGTTCTAAATAATTGATATCTAGATGAATCATGGTAAGAGAAATAAAATGTAAAAAAAAAAAAAATTAAGATTACGTTTAGCGCAAACCTTTACGTTCAGCTCAAATAAACATCTCTTATATACACTGGTTAAAACTTTATTCAAAATAAAGTAGCTTTCTATATATTTAAATTCTGAATAGACAAAGTTGGAATAGATATAAGATATAATGCAGAATCTTTGCATTCAGTGAATTTAAATTATGCTTGTTTGGGATACAAATGTGTGTTTGTTTATGGCGTGCATGTGTGTATATGAATTACCCCGTAAAAATGAGCTTGTTTTCCCACTCATCGGAAAGGTCTGAAAAGTTGTGATAGGTCTGCCCCTTTTTGTGTTCAAAATATAATAAGGTTTAATAAAACAATTTTTAATGTGGATGTGGGCCCTTACACAGACTCGAAACTGCCACTACCGCCACATGATTCGCGAATTCGACACTGCATGTACAATGTGAATGTCACAAGTTGCTATTTTTGTCTTTACAGACATTGACATTGGAAAAAAATTGAAAGAGGGGTGGGGGGTCAGTAAAAAATTTCCAGCATACAACAAATTTGACAAGCAAAAAAAGTGGGATATGTCATTTGCCCAAACACGAAAATCCTATTTCGTGGAAGCGGGGGGGGGGGGGGGGGGGGGGGCGAATTTCTTTTAGTACCATTTTTTCCACGGAGGGGATGCATGAATCAATAATATATAATAGTTTACAATAAATTTTTATTAGAAATGATTTCTACAACAGGAATATTGCTCTTTTATCTGATTTATATCGAATCTTCGTTATTTATTTGACAAGAATTTTCCGTTTTCCGTTCCGTTCCGCTTTCTGTTCCGTTTTCCGTTCCGCGTTTTAGCAACACCCATAAAATTCAGTGAAAATAAAATGTAGGGATGTAACAACAATTTTCACAATTAAATATATATTATACCAGTTTTCTTTACCAACGCATCAATTTTTACGCCAATCTGAATTAGTTTATTTCCTTGTGTGCCCAGAATTATACGAAACATGTCAGCTGGGAAACTGCATATGCATATAAGTAGTATTACACATGGTACAGGCCCCACGATCCATAGGCACGAAAAACTTGTAAAGATGATCAGTGATTCAGTCCCGTTACCCCCAGGTTATACTTTCAATAATACCCGTAATTCAATCGAGGTCTTTATATTTCTTACCTGTACTGTATTGTTAACTCTTCTTGTGAAGCCGAAGCGTTTGTAAACAGTATTGTTTACACGAGACGCCCTGCACCGGAAGTACCCAGCGTTACGCCACCTTTCGGATAAGAGCTCCGTAAGGAGCATTCACTCTGTATATCGGTAGCGAACCATTCAAAAGTGCATGATATTAAAACTTCTATAAATAAAAAAACAAAGCTTGTTTTGAAGGTAAATCACAAAAAATCGGTATTCAGTGTTAAAACCAGAAGTCTCTTTGGAGACTGTAGCTCTACTGGTTTGTGTTTATAACAAAGGATGAGAAAAGAAACCATTGCCACCAGACCAAAACAGTAGAAGGAGTAGCTTCTTAAAGTTATTTCACAGAAAATTCTATTTTTAGTAACCATGGCAACACCATTCATCGAAATCAAAAACCGATGCACTATTTTATGTATCTTAGTGTAGTCTACTTGTGTGCCAAGTTATATTGAAATCAGACCAAAACTGTACGAGGAATAGCGTTTTAAAGGAATTTCACAGAAAATTCTATTTTTAGTAACCATGGCAACACCGTTCAACAAAATTAAAAACCGATGCACTATTTTATGTATCATAGTGTAGTCTACTTGTGTGCCAAGTTATATTGAAATCAGATCAAAACTGTAGGAGGAGTAGCGTTTTGAAAAATTGTTTACAGACAGACGGACAGACAGACAGACAGACAAACGGACGGACGGACGACGGACACCTTACTATCGCATAAGCTCTTCTGGTCTCTGACCAGTAGAGCTAAAAATTAACAGAGGTAAATTTGGATTACTTCAAAAATAACATTTGTAATTACAATTCCTGCATTAAAATTCTTTTTTTTAAATGAATTTTCATAAATGGTGAAATTTATGTATTATTTTGACATTTTTGTAAATATCTATTTTTTCAAACGAGTGACAAATAATGTGTTTAAGTTAGTTAACGTCTCTAGAGATTTTTTTTTATTCATATGTAGACCTTACCACTTTTCGGTGTAGGGCTGTACATTTAAACCTATACATGGCACTCAGGGCCTTTAGTAGTGAGGGATCTTTCCCACTGCGACACGTGACCTCGTTTGGAAAGGTCTCATCAGAGATACCAATGTCTACGTCCTGTTGTTCATTTGAACTCTGACGTAAGGATCAGCTTTTTACGCCGTGACTCTAACGCAGACGCTCTAACCCCTGTGTTATGCGGGTGACTGAGACAAATAACATTAAGGATCAAGGAAAAGAAAATCTTTTACATATACAAGAGCAAAAACGTAGATGTTATAATTTCTTATCCCTTGCACAATTCTGAAGGAAAGGAATATGTTTATATATTTTAATTTCAGCTGCTCACTCCTCCATAGCAACTGATCTCAAGTCTAATGTTCGGAGGTCCGTCTTTGCTCTGAAATTCTCTTGTATTGTTTTATGGACTTTGATACTGAATGCTGTTCGTTATCTACATATCCTTCTTCTGATTATGTATTTCAGAACGTCTATTGCCATCATGGAAATATAAACAAGAATGTATATACCGGTACAATATGGCTTCTTTTCTGAAAAAAAAGTCAATGTTGACGACTTCTGTGCAAATTATTTCACTCTGCCAGTTTTTATGTTTGAATTTACCAACATACCTCTGATATTCGGAGGGATGACAGACTGTGGCGTTTTAATTTCATCTGAAAAATAAAAATAAAATGACTTTTTGGGGTAGGATATTTAGGAATATTACTTTCTTTTTATTTATGTTATTTTTATCATTTATATTATATTTGTATATTAAAACAGGTTTCACAGGAAGAAACAAGACCTTTCAGTTAAAACTGAAAGGCGGCTTTCAGTAACTTTTCAGTGGCCATTCAGCCACTGAATGGCACATACATTTCAGCGAACTTTCATTTGCCTTTCAGTCACATTTCAGATACCTTTCAGTCACCATTCAGCGGACACATTTCCGTCAACTTTCAGTGGCCTTTCCATCAACTTTCAGTGACCTTTCCGTCGTCTTTCAGTGACCTTTCTGTCGTCTTTCAGTGACCATTCTGTCGACTTTCAGTGACCTTTCTGTCGTCTTTCAGTGACCTTTTCGCCACCTTTCAGTGATATTTAAGTCTCAATTCAGCAATTTTTTCACTAGCGTATTATATTATAATCAGATATTTTTCCTTATTACAAGGAAGCAATATTTTGAATAAGCCTAAGATTAATTATTCAATCTTAATTGTGTTTTATTTTTACTTATCGTGATCAAATTCGGGTACCTTGAAATATGTCTGAGTAATTATTATAATTTTATAAAATATTTGAAACTTATTCTCAATAATATTTTTATTTTCTAGTTACATTTAGAAAACAAAAATTCTTCAAGTGATAAAAAATGATGATCCGATAACCGATTCAAAATTTAAATAAATGCATAACATTCTATAGTGCTTATACGTGTATTTTTTCATGGAAATATATAGTTTTGATTGATGAGACAGAATTTATATTATTTACACCATCTCTGGAAGATCGCAAGTATAACTGATCAATTTCGTTTCTTAATTATACAGTCATTGTCAAAACTGCAGGATATTTAGTTTTTGAAAGACATTATTCTAAATTCATTTTTAATTACAAGAATAAATAAATTGTTAATACATGACTCTTGTAGAAAAAAATATAGTAGATTTTAGCTTTCTAAATGATATTGATTTAATAAAATCATTCTACTAAGTTTTTAGATAGTGAATTTACAACGATCTTAAATCTTTGACACAGGAACAGGTGCCCGTGTCTGATAATTGTCATCATCCTGATAGGAGATGTGTAATTAATTAGTCTGTCCCAAAAATCCGCGCAACTAACATAGAATATACAAAAGATATACAAGATATATACACATCGCAGCTCCTCGATACAACAGGTGAACTGATTGTTCCATCGATTTCTATAAATTAATTGATTTTAAATCCTTATTTCTCAACAAGAGGTCGTAGCGTAATTGGTAAGGTCGCGGACACCTAAGCAGGAGACCAGGGTTCGATTCTGGGCCTTGGAGCATTTTTTTTTTTCTTGTATTAATTTTTTCCTATTTTTTTTTATCGGAATTAGATACATTTAATGCTATTATACCAGAAAAAAGTGAAATAAAATTTTTATGTAAAAAAAGAAGCCGATTATTCAATAAAAAGATTCAACTGAATGATCACGGAAAGGTCACTGAAATGTATGTGCCATTCAGTCGACTGAATGGTAACTGAATGATCACGGAAAGGTCACGGGAAAGGGTCTTTTCAGTGACATTTCAGTGACCATTCAGTGGCCATTCAGCCACCATTCAGTTGACTGAATGGTGGATTTTCATCCTGTGTTTGGGGCTAAATCTTGTTACTGGTATGACAAAATACATGTTTCCATTGGACCCATTCAATAAATATACACTGACAATTTTGATTGCTGGAGTTTAATTTCGTTTATTTCCTTCTTACCAATTACCAACGAAAAAAAAATCCCCCATATAATTTTTTAATGACTGCAGTTTGCATTTGGTTTATTTTGAAACAAAGAAACTTTGTCCACGAAATATTTTTAGATGATAAATAAACGAAACTTTATGCCCATGAAAATTTATCAACAGTAGATGAGCGGTAGAAATTTGAATTTTTTATTCTAAACTTGTGACCTGATTTCCATGCCATTTGCTATTTCTGTCGAAAAATCACGCATTTACCGTTTCCCGGCAATCATGCATTTTCACGCACTTTAGAAAAACCATAAAATTTATTGCAAATTCTTATAATTTCATACTTGCTTAAATCTAATAAAAACGAGCAGTCATTTTCTTATCAAAATATTACGTCATATTTTACTTGTACAAAACTTTTGAGAAAAATGCACTCCGCTGTAAAGTCCTTTTGGGGAAATGGTAACGTAAAATTTCTGAGCGCGAGACAATTCAGTAAGTTATAAAGCGTTTTCTTAAGGACCCTCTCTACACAAGTGCAAATATTTTTTTTGGACATTGAGAAAATTATATTGTATAAAGGAGTTAATATTGAGCTTATTTAATCAATTTTCAGTGTATGGTGCGTGCCATTTAGCCCCGGGAAAAATGCTCAAAGACAACACAGTATCAGTGAATAGAAATCGCTGCTAATTACTTCAGTAGAGCAAATACATGTCAATACCATGTTCAGTTAATTTATCTTGGCCTTTTAAAATGTGAAGAATACATGAATTAATTATAAATTAAGAAATATATTGAAAATTTCAATTTTTTAGAATTTAGATCAAAGGGCAGATCACTCTAACTGCAAAACATACCTTAGAATTAGAACTCTTTAGTGTGCAGTGTAGAGAGGTTTCTTAAGAAACATTTAGAGTGAAAGTATAATTGCCCACTATATTTTTTAATGAATGAAACTAAGGTGCAACCAAATAAAACATCAATACTAATGCATTGTAACATTTTTATTATTTCATTGAAAAATAACTTTTCATCATGATACTCTGCAAATTTATTGTTAAAAAAATTATACAAAATCAAATTAATCTTCATAATTTTATAAAATCTGGTCATCCAGTAATAAATTACTTTGACAAGACAATAAATTAAAATTTAGAGAATAAGTGAAGAGAGATTTTCAATTCTTTTGCCATATTTGCCATGGAAGTTAAATAAAAAGTTTTGAAGTATATTGGTTTTGGTTCAAAGATTATAAACTGAGTCAAGATTTTAAATTTAAATGTTAAAGCTTTCTGTTTTACAAAGTGGATTTTCATCTGATCAGTTTGATATGCAAAGAGGTTGCAGACAAGGTGGCCCTGTTTCTCCATACTTATTTATTCTATGTGCAGAAATTCTGGCAATTTTAACTAGATGCTGTCATGAGACAGTAATACCCGCACAAAGGCGTTTGCCTCTAAATACAAGCTCCTATATATTGGGCTTTCTAAGGAAAAAGTCAAAATAATTCTTTATTTTACACAGAACATGAATCTTATCTTATCTATCTGTATTTGTCAAACTGAGTATAAAATTCCCAGACCCTGTGACCCATGTGACCAATGACTCAGAACGTCTTATCTCTATTTTATATGCTTAATTCATTACCAGTCTGAAAAACAGAATTTGATTAATGATGTAAATTAGATTTTGATAAATCTACTACCCCCCCCCCCCCCGACACCACAAAAACACGACACGTACATTTTTTTAAATAGGCTAGATGGAGGGGGGGGGGGTATCGTTACTGAAGTTAAGCATTGCAGTTAGAAGGTAATTGCCATTAAGAGAAATTGAAATTTTTGGCAATAAATAAAATTATAGTTTCTTTTAAGGGAACGGACTGGGGTTTTATTGTGTGACATCTACAATAGAGAAACTCTGTAAGAATGTAATAATTTATTACACTTGAAAAAAAAAATCCAGCAATATTCGATAGTTAATCAAAATCCGGGAAAATCTTTTGATTTCAGTTAGGTGTATAATATCATATTATTTCTTAAAACTGATCCTTTTGATTTTTATTTACTTTCTTTTAGAGTTAATTCTAAATTGTCTCTAACTTTTTTTATGTTTAAAATTATTTACTAAAGAAACATTTTGCAAAAAATATGAGTATGCTTTCCAATATAACGCATTTCTCGCTCTCTTCTCCTTCTTTTCTTTTCTTTTCTTTCTTTTCTTTCTTTATTCTTTTTTTTTTTTGGAAAATGATGTAGATGTTTTTGGGTACAAAAGTACGCCTGGCTACGCGCCTGGCCGTTTGTTATGAAATGATTTAAAATATGTTCTTGTACAATACATGTTTACATGTTATGTAAACACTTTTTGGAAAATTTCTACATCCTGTTGGGTTGCGTCACCCGTTATCATATTTTTAGATAAGCATCACCCGGCACCCCTCGGGCGATTCCCACTTCATCTGTTAAGGTGATTTTGCTGAATGGGATTATAAGCACATGGTTCAGTTTGGTGTGTAATAATTCATTTTGTGTTTTAATTGGATTATTTATCATGAAGTTGACAGGATCTAAGACAGTCGGTAAGTACATGTTTAAGTATAGAGAGGAGTAAGATAAACCGCAGATAAGATTAAAGTTCAAAAAGGGTCAAAGATCATTGCATGCCACAGTGGACGAATTTCACATTGTGAAGTTATCTCCCGTTGTTGTTGATGTGACATTTAGCTAATGGAGTACATGTAGATCCATTTTTTTCAGGGAGGGAGGGGGGGGGGGTCACACCTCGGTCAAAAAAATTCCAGCCCAGAATTTCCTGACAAGCAAAGAAAAATAATTACTTTAGTAGGTTCAGTCAATTTAAATAACAATGCAAAGTCCAAAGGAGGGGGTTACAATCTCCCTGGCCTCTCCCTGTCTCTGAGATTTACAATAGATCTTGTGACTCCAAAATACTAGATTTTTTTTTCATTTTACTATAAATATATAACGTTACATATTTTATTTCTTGTGTTTATGTTATGTCTGTCTGTTTGTCCGCAGAAGCTTTAACCTTGCCTATAAGTTAAGTTTTGAGTGGGATATGAGCTATACACATGGCTTCCTCATTTCATAGGTTAATTCCTTGTGACAAGACCTTTTATTTGGGTACCACCAATTTTGACCTCTTGACCTTGACCTTGGGTTTTTACCCATTTTTTCAAGAAAATTACCAAACTATAAACTTGGC